GTAGGAATTGAGGAAACACATAGGCTGAGAATCAGTTTGCTGAGGTGTACTGCTTCTTTAAAGAACTAACACAAGTGCTCCTCAGAGTGTTCCATGAATAGAAACAGGAGGAAAGCTTCCAGGTTCAACCTACAAAGCCAGTATCGCCTTGATCTCAAAATCAGACAATGATTCAACTAAAACGAAAGCAGCGAAGCAAATCCTAATGCAAAGCTTCTCAGTAAATTCTTGGAAACTTAATTAAGTAGCACAGGGTTGGGGAGATAGCTCAGTAGCATAAGTGCTTGGCTGGCAATCACAAGGTCCTGAGTTCAATCTCTGGTACCACAACAAAATAAATAAACCAATAAATAAGATTAATTAAATAGCACAGTGTTGGTGCTCTCTGCTTTCAAAAACTTATAGAATGTGATCTATTTGATTTTATTCCAGGAGTATGGAGATGATTCATCATATTCAAATCAGCAAATATCAGAAAAAGCATGCATAGAAGAAATGAAAGCTACACGCTTAGTTCAATATGCATACCAAAAGCCTTCAGAAAAAAACTATTCATTCACAAAAAAATGCTCTGAAGAAACTAATATAGTAGACGCATACTCTTATCAATTTAACAACTAAGCCAAATACTATCTGTCAAAAATTGGGGCTCTATCACAGTGTCAGTACCCCGGGTACTGTGGTACACAGTTCCTGAGGGGCTGCATGGGGGCCCACCCCAGTGCTAACGCTGGAGCCAGGCTGACAACATGCTCGTGAGGAAAGGGTACGGCGGACCTTCCCCGGCCTGGATGAGGGGCACCGGATCCCTTGTTCACCACGCAGGGACCCGAGCATCACTTTTGGTTCTTAGACTAAGAGTTACTTTTCAAGTGTGTTTTCCTCGTCAGTCAGCTAATCAGATTCACAAGCACTCTCCTTTTTGCTGTGCAGGACAGAAGAACTGGTTGTAGCTGGTGCAGCCTGGATCGGCTCATTCTGACTCTGTCCTCAGTGATCGTTGCCAATGGACATCAGATCTGTTGGAAAAATGGACAAAATTAGTTTTGGATCAAAAGTACGATCTATAAAGGGGAACAAGGGCTGGCCAGATAGCTCAGAGGACTAAAGCACCTGCTTAGGCAGAAAGCAACAGCCAGGGTTCGATCCCTGTACTGCCATGCTGGCCCCGCTCCTGGACACACTGAGGTGGCAATTAAGATTGAGTATGGTGGCGTGCACCTGTAATCCCCGTGCTTGGGAGGCTGAAAACATGGAGATTGCTACAAGTCCAATCTAGTAATGAGACCCTTTACACTCTTTAGAGCCTGTACTAAATACAAAAAAAAAAGCTATAATGGGGACAATGACTCAGTGATAGTACTACCATGCAGCATTACCCAGGACTCCAGGACAGTTATAGGCACCTCTGCCATCACAGTGGTACACTTCCACCCTCTTGTGGCCACATGTGGAGAAACCCCTGCAATTCCTTAGGCGACAACTATCCTCTTTCTGGTAATACCTACTTGTTTCTGGCCCCTTTTCCCACTTATTTTTCAATATTTGTTCAGATGCCACAATCGTGCACAGGTTTCAGGCACCGTCTGTAATTGTGGTTATATCGGCTAGCTATGTTTGGTTTTCAACTTAAAATTAATAATTTAGGAATCATAATTCAACTTCCATGTTGGTATTCCAGAAGACCGAAGATATTTTCCTGCTCGTTGCTTCCTAGTTACCGGCTTAAAGACGAAGGAGTCACCCTGCTGATTTTCTAGAGCACTCCAGTGGTTTTCTTGCTTATACAACTTTGCTGTCTATTTCCAGTCATTGTCTGGGTAGCTTGATGAAAGTATTGTGAGATGACACAGATTTAATTACACAGAGTGGAGCCTGCGCAAAGGAAGGCAATGGGAAGACTATCAGTGACAGCCACAGGCCAAAACCAAGACTTCCTCTTGCTGAGTATTTGTTACAGCCTTAAACACAGCATCATGATACCAACCACCAGGGCCGCTGAATCGTAGTTACTGTGCAGTTTCTAAACTCTCAGCCCAACCATCCCATGGGCAGTAAGTACAGATCCTTGCAGGGCTGTATTTATCCAACAGCCCATCACTTCTTGTGCAATCTTACACAGTGGGTCTCTCTCTCTCTCTCTCTCTCTCTCTCTCTCTCTCTCTCTCTCTCTCTCTCTCTCACCAGGGATCAAACTCAAGACCCTGCACTTGCCAGACACTTATTCCACCTTATTCCCCTGGGCTGCTCTTAAGGAGAGGGCAACAGGATGAAGAGAAGCCACATTGCACGCTCTGGCGCACAGCAAGCAGTTGGTTTCCTGCCCTCTCAAGTGCCGCTTTCTGACAGTGACAGCTGTCTTACCAGAGGACAAGATGATGGGCCTGCAAGATCTTGTACTTGCAACCTCCAACTTGAGTGCAACAATTCCATTTTCTTTATAATAAACTCAGTTTGCAGCATTTTGTGAGACAAAAGAGAAAAGTACAGGTGCATCTTTTGTTAATGTGCCCTTTTTCATAGAAACGTCTTTCCATAGAGTCATTGACTGGAAAGAGATTCTCATTGACTAAAATGAATTTCTTTCTTTCTTTCTTTCTTTCTTTCTTTCTTTCTTTCTTTCTTTCTTTCTTTCTTTCTTTCTTGGGAAGGGTCTACAGGGCATCCAGGGTCTCACTACTAGATTGGACTCATAGTGATCTGCCTGTTTACAGCCTCCCAAGAGCTGGAATTACAGGCGAGTGCCACCATGCCCACTCTCAATCTCTGTCTCAGCATGCACCAGGGGCAGGGCTGGCAAGGCAGGCCCAGGGGATCAAACCCTGGCCCCTGAGCCTGCTTGCAGGTGCTTCAATCTGCTGAGTTATTTGGCTGGCCCCTTTATGGACTTCTTTTTTTTTTCTTTTCAAAGTTTTATTGATAAACATATAGCAATGAGACAGTTTCAAATCAAATCGAAAGTACAGTTTCAACAAATAATACACTGCATATATTCTTCTTAGTGGTTAATTGCTGTACAAGATGCAGACTTGTGATCCTACTTACAAACACCATTAGAAAAAATCATTCTATTCATTAAGAGAATGCAACTATATATCTATCCCAACCACTTTGAATACACAGATACAAAATGGACATTCATAGTTATACCCCAATTTTTTTTAAGTTCCGTTGTTGAATATTATAGGTGTGTAAACTCAGCAAAATATTCTAAAAGAGTACAGAAGCCCATAATAGCATTGGGTCTTCTGTTTAATTGGCAATGTCAGAAATTATTGACGTGAGTCCCCCACAGCTCAACATAACAACATGGCTTTACTTCCTATATTTCATCTTCATACTTTTCTACTGGATGGTTAAGACCAAGATAAAGCAGAACCTATGCAACAAGAGTTGTATCTTTTTGGTTTGAGAAGGTCAGTGAAATGCCCTCAGGATTTATCCTGAGATCCTGTACCTCAGATTGTAGAACCTTTGTCAGTGCAGCCATGTGGATGAGTCACGGCCATTGCTTGGCCAATGTGCTCTCTGTGAAAGCCTGAGAGAGTGTCTTCTCCTCATGTGACTCTCCTTAGGCACACTCCACGTCATCGATCAATTTCCTCTTTGGCCCCATAACCTTCTTGATCAGAATATCTGGGACACTACCGAGGTACATGACGTTACAGTACAAGTTCTCATATGTCCTGAGTCTTAATTGACCTTAGAAGGGTAGGGCCAAAATATTGGCTTTCCTTGTAGCCCTCCTTTTTCTCTAATTTTGGTCTGCAAACTTAGGTTGTTAACCATCCAGATGGACTTCTTGACAGTAGGCCTTCATGATGCTTGCTGTGACCTCCCTGTCTGAATGTACTCACAGAGTACAAAAAATACTGAGGAGCTGTGGTGCCCTTGCATGGTTCTCAGCTGGGGTAAATGCTGGTGTGAAAGAGAGCCAAGAGACAGGCCATAGACCTGTACTTAAGCACATTTCTGGAATTAAGTTTCCTGAACTGATTTTCCTGCTCATTTTTCCATCAAAGTGGTCAGTAGGGCCTCTGAGACATACAGTTGGAGGAGAAGGACCCACTGCCATCTGCACACTCTGTCAGGGAGAGAGGAAGGAGGAGAATCACCTGTGAGGGTGGCTCAGGCTGCAGAGAGCATCCGCTCCCATACCTGGGTTTTCAAGCACAACTGGGAACTACGTGGTAGAGGGACCCTAACGTCAGAGGCAGTCGGGCTGTGGCTGCTGGGAGAGAATCAGAGTGTCTCAGATTTGCAGCATCTGGTTCAGCATTCAGTATGAAATTTGCACATTAAGATTGTTTCCTCCACTGTCATTACCCGTACGGAAGTGATTCCTGCCTGGAATTTATGCAGCAGGTGCCCCTGCACTCCCAGGGAAGGAGAACCACTCATTGCAGAGTCCACTTTCACTGGGTGTTGCTGTGCTTTCTTCTTGGTTCTGCTTTATTTCTGAGGCAGGGTCCCACTGTGTAGCTCAGGCTGGTCTTAAAGTCTTTCGGAGTCCATGCCTTGCTTTTTATTTGACAACCCTATTTCCTCAGCCTCCCAACTGCTGTGATTACAGACAGACACCACCATGACCAGTGCATTTTGTCTTCTGTGTTTTTTTATATTTTTCCTTCACTATCATCCTTCTGGTCATTGAACTCATTTAAATGCCCATCTATGTTTTTTATTTTACATTTCTGCTTATAAAAGCTACCATTGCTTGCCACTTCTATGTGAATCTCAAGACTTCCTCCACTTCATACTCCTAAATGGTAATGACTTGTGTTCTTTATTTCTTTAGGAGAGGAATCGGCACTCTTGTGTTCCTACAGCAGTGGAGGAAGCCACAGTAGGAAGGGGCAAGGACTCAGCCTGACCCTTTCCCAAAGACCTTCAAATGACTGTTAAATTCTGGCTGTAGCTGAATACCAGTCTTATCAGGTGCAGGCTCCCGGGAGAGAAGCTGGGCGGCCCAGCCTCCCGCTTCTGCTTCTCTGGGAGGTTTATGTCATGGCTTGTAACGCTGTGGGAGGCCAACTGTAGCTCTGCTGACAGAAATAAGTGGCGACATCTTCAGACTCCAGGCTGCTGATGGTGAGAGTGAACTCCGTCCCAGACCCACTGCCGCTGAACCTCGAGGGGACCCCAGACTGCACAGTGGTGGCATAACGGATCAGGAGTTTAGGAGCTTGCCCTGGTTTGTGCTGATACCAGTGTAAGCTACTGCTAATGCCCTGGCTGGCTCGACAAGAGATGGTTACTCTCTCTCCTAAAGATGCAGACACCGATGGAGCCTGGGTCAACTGGATGTCACCTCTGCCACCTGAAAAGGAAACAAAAAATATTTCAGTAATTATTGATGTAATTAAAGGATGTCCCAAATATCCCAATGTCTCTGACCATGCAGTGCTGAGGAAGTCCCCAGGGCTGCCCCTCCTTACCTGGCAGCCAGAGCAGCAGGAGCCCCAGGAGCTGAGCGGGGACCTTCATGGCCATGCTGTGTCCTGAGTGGGACACAGGGAGGGAGCAGCCTATGAAGATGTCCTCAAGGCTGGGCTGGCTCTGGGCACATGCAAATCAGCAGGGCAGGGCAGGGTGGCGCAGCTGCAGGGCTGGCTCCTCTCAGGGACTCTGGGCAGGCGCGGGGCCCCAGGTGTCCCAGAGGAGGCCATACTGCTAGAGATGAGTTTGCAGTGGATTCTGTCCCTTGGGAGTAGAGGGTAAAGTCTGTCAGCTTTTTCTTTTAGTACAGTGTTGTTTTCCTCTCTTAGATTCTCAGTACATTTTCTATTATTTTTCTGTACACAGGAGAACCTGCTAGACACACTGCACTCCTACAGAGACAAAAGATTGGGCGCTTAAAGTTTCCCTGCTGCTGGTCATTAATACTGATAGCAGGAGTCTCCCCCATGCGGAGGTTCCCTGATAATCTTCAAGTAGTGAGTGTCAGCGGGAAGCTCCAGGACCGTAGTGAGGTAGCAGGGGAATAGGCAATGACAGTTTCCATGACTTACTAATCACCAGAATGCACAAGTCACAATGCAATGAGAAGCAAAATCCAAAAAAAAAAGGAAAATTTATGAAAGAAGACTATAATTCCAGGGGCTCACTTGTCACTAAATCTCATTTCTGCTTCCTCTGCACTTTATTTTCCCTCACACTATGAGGCACTTTAGATTCAGAAACCTTAACCTGGAGATGTCAGGACACCATTGCTTGCACCCTGCTTCACACGCTTGATATAAACCAGCAGGTATGGAATGGGGTGGGAGGTGGGTGATCAGTAACCTGGTAAATGCCCAGCAAAGTTATTCAGAATAAGGAAGGAAATAAGAAAAAAATGGAGAGGACCATCACCGAATGTGCAGCAGCTTTGGAGGGTTGTGAACTTTACCTCTTCGGGGCTGAAGAAGAGAATCCTATTGCTATCAAGGACAGTAGGAAGAGGGGCCCGGGGAGGTGGCTCAGGGGAATAAGCGCTTCCCTGGCAAGCACAAGGGCCTGAGTTCAATCTTCGGTTCTGCAAGCAAACAAACAAAGAAAATGTGTGTGTGTGCATGAGAGAGTGAACTGAGTCCTGTGTGTCAGGCTGTGTGGGAGGCACTGCAGTCAGTTCGCTCCAGTTCGGGAGGGCAGTCAGTTCGTGCACTGCAGGGTCCGGGCACCATGCTGAGAAGCACCCGGATGTCCGGGTGGGCAGCGCAGCAGAGCAGATTCTACCCGACAAGACCTCCTCCTCTCTGAATGTGTGCTCCTTTTGTTTCTGCAGAGTGTCAGAGCAGTGATCCTTGTCACCAACCTCTGTGCTGGCAATAAGCAAACTATGCCTCGGATGAATAGGAGCAGTGGCACTACATGTCAGTTTCTTTCTCCAGGTGACAGCGTGGTGGTGCCTCTGCTTGTTCCATGTCCTTCTGACTCTGGCCTTGCTACGGGAAGCAGGGACACTAACTGGATGAATTGTGATTTCTGGCTCGCTTTCCTCTCCTGCACAAGCCCTGCAGTGAGGCATTTGGGACTGTTTGGGTCATGAGTGCCACATACCAGTCAGCGGATTTGTCCACTCTGCTTGATTTTAAGCTTAGTGTGATTCAGGAGGTGAAGCCTCATGGGAGGAGGGGGCTCACTGGAGACGCAGTCTGGAGGCTCCTGCCCCCTCCCTCTTCTTTGATCCCTCTCTGCTCCCTGCCTGCCAGGCCCCGAGCTGCTTCTCCTCTGCCAGGCTGCCCTCCCTGGATCTAGCTGGCTTGGGGCTGAGACCTCTGCAACCTGGGAGCCCAAATGAGCTTCTCTTCCTTAAGATGTGGGCGTCCAGGACTGTGTCTGAGATACAAGGACGTGAACAGAGTAACACCCGTGGGCTAGGTGCCCTGAGTGAGGGCAGTACTGCTGGGGTGGGCACTCAGACTGTGCAGGCTTTTAGGCATCAGCAGAAGTGTTATTTTAAAATTTTGGAGAAAAAGATAACAAAATCATACAAAGGAATCATACATATTTGAAAAATGAAATCCTGGGAGCATGGAAAATTCTTTCCAGAGAAATGTGGTGACTTCCCAGAAGGTGACAAAAGAGTTTAGGCAGCTAAGTCCCTCCCATAGCGACAGTGAGGTTTCCAGGTCTCACAGAAGCCCGGCTTTGTAAGTCTGTTTCTATCAGAAGTGAATGAGTGAGGCAGTTGCTATAAATTCCCAGGATGATGCGCACAGAGTCTGGAAAATCTGTGGCTCAGGCTTCTTGAGATACAGATGCTGAACCGGGTGAGGGGAGCACAGGTATCTGGGGAGGTGGGCGACGCGCTCAGGACAGAGGGTGCTGGACTGAATTCGGAGGCGCTGAGGGGACTCATCTGAGGTGTGAGCGCTTCCTATGCTGCACACTCCGCACACGGCACAGTTTCCACCATGTGGAGCTCAGGCTCTGTGCTCAGTTGTCTTCCAAAATGGATGAAAGTAACCATCTCTTTTCTCGCATTAAAATCAACCTCCATGCAGTAACAACCCCGCACCACGGGTGCTCCTCAGGCTTCTCACTGCTGGAAGCTGACCTGCACGTCCTACAGGAGGAGAGCAGTGTCTGACCCAGAGCTTCAGAGAATTCAGTCTCCGCAGCTGCTCCGTGTGGTTACACCATGGGGTATGGAGCTGGTGTCATAAAGCCTTCTGGTGTCATAAAGTTCCCATGGCAACTGGGAAGAAGAGCAGGGGATTTGGGGGGCAGGGGCCACAGACATGACTGGACCCCATGTCCTGCCTCCACCACTCATCCAGGCCGAATGAGTGCTACGCTGTATTAACACCCTAGGTGGCTGCCGATACTCGCCAATTCCATCCTGGAGGGAGAAGTTGGAAATGTCTTCATCCTAGATGGGCAGGATCAGAATTAAGCTTTTATTTTATGACACACATGGGCTGTTACTCCTTGTGTATTTATCTGCCACTCGCAGTTGCAGCACCTGCCGGATCTGCAGTCACAGGCTTCCGGGAAAATGATTCCTGCCTGTGGCTCACAAGAGACCTTTGCATGGGGCTGGGCCGACGGCAGACTCAGACTGTCCAGGTCCCAATTTATGGACGATCATAAAATTTCAAACATGATCTGAGAGGATTCCAGAAGGGAAATTGGTCCCAGCATCGTGACTCTTCCTTGTTCCCCTAGAGGCAGCTCTTTGCCCATTTTCTTTCCCCAAAGTTATCATTGTTGTAAATACAAGGAATTGGCACTGTTTTGCATTGTTCTTTCACTCACTGACAGGCTTTGTCCACTTTTCCTGAGGGGCTGGAAGTGAGCCCACGGTGGTCCTACCTCTGTAGCCAGGCTTTAGGTAATCCTTGTGAGGAAACGTTAGCCTGGTCTGTAGGTGTTCAGGCCCCACACGCCTGGCTTTCAGCAAACCTGTAGCTTTTAGACTGTTCCCTGTCTGGGTGAGGATCACACTGTCACTTGTCCACTCCGCAGCGACTCGGGCGTCACTCTTTCCATGTTAGGCTACGAGGCGCTCGCTCTTCCTTGTGTGCCGTCTCCTCAGACACCAAATGCTCTCCCTTTCACTGTGTGATACAAGAGCTTGTTTTAGCCAAACCTCCCTGATGAGATCACTTTGCGCCTTTCCTGAGTGACCCTTGGCTGTGGACATGAGATCTGGTGGAAAATGGTGGAAATTTTGTCTGTATTTCTAATATTTCTAATAGCTGAGAACAAAAACCAGAATCCACGAACTCACCCTCTGGAGTAATAGCTGTTTATTCCTTGCTCTCTGTTATACATATCCTCTTTAAAAAATGTTAAGGTAAGAGGAGAAAAGAAAAAAGAAGAAGAAAGTGTTGAGCTATCAAATAGACAAGGATCCAGGAACAATCCTATCCAGTGTCAGTAGGGACTCCAGGGCATTTTTTGACACCCTCAGAGCCTTCTCTGCCCTCACAGTGGTGCGCTTGCGCCCTCTCGTGGCCATGTGTGGAGAATCACGCTGCGGTGGTTCCTCTACCTGACAGCAGGGTCCTTCTTCCTGGCAGCACGTGCTTGTTTCTGACACTCTTTCACTCTGTCTTTGTTTGATCAAATTCAGCGAGCACAAGTGGGTTCAGCCATGGACCGCTACTGTGCGTACATCAGTGTGTCACATGTGCTCATCATTAAATGTTAATAGTTTGTTGATAAAAATGTTTAGAAAACATTAGAAAGGAAACAGAATTTCACTAAACAAAATAATAGGAATTCAACGATGGTGGTTATGGTACATGATGATGTTTTCAAAGTGTTTTATTGGGTTAGCAGATGTAAGCGTACAAAATTAGGGAAAAAACATGAAATATTAAAAAGGAGAAGAAAAATGTAAACATAAACTACTACTTTAAATAGACCAGCAGAAATCAGCAGCGCAATTATCCAGCTAACCTGTATATATACATACATATATTTTCTTGCTTTCTTTCTTTCTTTTGTCCTTGTTCTGTGCCCACTGCTCTTTCCATTTGAAGTTTCTTTCCCTTTCACAGCATTCCTTGTACCTCTCACATTACACTTACCCTTTCAGCTTCTCCCCCTAGTGAGCCAATGTCGTGTTTGCTCATGTGGGTCTGATTTATTTCACTTATCAATATCATCTCAAGTTGCATCCACCTATCTATTCAAAGATCAACTTTATCTTTTCTTATAGCTGAGTAATTGCGTAAAAATGCCACATCTTTTTACCCTTTCCTCAGTTCATAGGCATCTGGGTTGTCCCCAGGACTTAGCTATGACAAACTGTGCTGCTATAAACACGGATGCGCATATACGCGCTGTCATGATGTTTTGAGCTCATTTGGAAATGTACCTCGGCGGGCAGTAGCTGGGGTGAGTGCGGCCTGCAGTCCTAAGTTTCCGAGGAATCCCCACACTGTGACTTCCCTGCCCGGTATAATTCCGAACCCTGATGAGATTTTCCCGTTCATCGCTCTCTAGTTCCCAGTTCAAAGATGATACAATCATCGTGCTTAATTTTTGAAAAATCAGTCATTTCTTAGTGCACTAAGTTTTGTTGCTTAGTTTCACTCATTATCTTTGTGGCTTGATGAAAATATTCTGGGATGTCACAGAAGTATAGAATGGAGGAGGCAGAGACTGAGACACAAAAGGATGGTGATTATAAAAACTACAGGACAAATAAAAAGCTTTAATGTTCCTGAATGTTTTTGAAACCTGAAGCATAACACAGTGATGCTATATGCCTGGGACCCTGAACCTCAACACCGGGCGCTTTCTCGTGTGTGAGCCCAACCGTCTGTGAGCATAAATGCAGCCCTCGTAGGTGTCCCTGCTGTCACCCAGCTCATCCCCTTATTATTTATGCCAGTGCAGGTTTACTTTAAGCCACATGTGATTCTCCCAATTTCTTTTGAAAATGCCCTTGGCTTTGAGGTACAGTGGACATAACTCAAGCCTCACCATTTTAGGTTGTCAAAATGTCCTAAAACCGGGCCCTCTCCTGACTAGCACCTCTATAGCCTCAATAACTTTAATTCAGAGAAATCAGGCACCCTCAACCTTGTTCTCTGAAACCATCCACATTTTCTATTACCTGGAATTTCTCAGCCTGCTTGGGATGCACCAAGAGGACAGAGATACATTTCACCCTGGAACACGCCTTCAGCACTCGGGCTGGCCCAATCTCAACTCCTCCACTTGGTCTTCTCAGGAAAGTGTGGGGCCTAGAGGACGACTGAGGAAATAAATTAAACCCAGCAGAGAGGAGTTCCTGCTTCCACGTGCTGCCCTTGGTCCACAGTAATTCCCTTGCTTACTGGTGTTAGGGGGATCTCCTCCCTAATAGAGGGCAAAGCCTATGTGTAGTAAGCACAGGATGTTTATCCTTACAAGTCAGATGGCTTAAAGTGTATTACCCATGCCATCCTCCGTTCCATGTAATTGTAGAGTCCCTGCATGGACTGTAGCCTTGCACTTCCTCATGGGCTCCTGGAACATTTGGCAATGGGGAATAACCACCCTCCATGTGTTGTGTCATTGTAACTACTGGGGATATCTTGTTCAGTGATGTGCTTTACATTGGAATTTTATTGGGAAGCCTTTTTTGCCAAATTTGTGCCATTTAAAAAGTGCACTTATAGCAATGACAGTATTGTTTTATGGGTTTTAAATCTTTAATCTTTTCATTTGTAGAGATTGCTTCTATGTGTTTTACCACAGACTGGTGCCCCGGGATATGTTGGAATGCAACTTCTGGTGTGAGATTCTACATGAATCATACAATTCCCTCTTATTTTTCATTTAGGGCCTGACTTCAGGACAATGCAGGATATGATCGGGTATCCACAGATAATAAATGGAGACAGATTGGAGCATACTGGGGTGCCACTTCCTTGTGGGAATCAACTGAGGCAGGATGACAGAGGCCAACGTG